TTTTCAGCCTGTGAATAAGATAACAAAGGATAAAGTCAAATCCACTTGTTTTCATTTATTGGATGAAAATCGTGTCAACCTAAGGCAATTTTTCACCAAAGCACCTAAGTGAGTTCTAAGAACGAATTTCTTGAGAAAAGTCATCTGGTGGTTATACAATCTGGGAAGGAATTTGAGCTCTGCAGTCTTCCTTTAAGCTTTCTTCGGGATCTTGTTGAGTTTTTCATACATTCGAGTTCTGAAAATTTGATTTTTCTCAGTGTTTCTGTGGATGTTGTTATCAATTGTCAGAATTTTGATTTACCTTTCTAATCTTTATTTTCCCTTCTCAAATTCCTTTTGTAATAGATGTGACAGTTCTCTTGTAGTAACCAGGCATAGACATCTGCAATATCTGAGAAAGAAAATTTTCAATATTCATCTTATTGAGAAAAAAAAAAAATAAGAAGAAAAGAAAGCATCCTGAAACATGTTTGAATGTTTTGTGGATATATAAGAAAACACTGGTATTTAAGATGGGGTAGGTGAGGAATGACGGAAAGCAGAGACTGATGATGTTCTGTTGCAACTGGTGAGCATTATCCCAGAGCTACTGTGCCACTAGATCCATAAGGCAGCCTATACAATAAACAGTTCATCTTTTCTGCCCTGCTTTCAATTCCATGTTTTTGTTAATTAATTTTTAAGCTTTTACTCAACTTCACCCTGGAACATCCATTTTTTCTTGGAACAAAACTAGAGTAGATCATAGTGTCTGTGAATAATATGAAGTCTGATTAATCATATTGTAACACTTTATACTCTTACTTTTTTGTTTGGGTAGGCTAGTTGAATGTTGATCATTATGGGCTCTACCTTTAATACCTTAATCAAACTTGTTTCTGTTTTGTCCTTTTGCCTGAAGACTTCTGATGTTTAGAATTAACCTTGTTCTCAGTCCTTTTCCATTCTGTGTTGAGCTTTACACCTAATTAGAGGTAATTGTTTCCTTGTTCCTACAGCATCAGCCAAGCAAGCAGATCTTGGCTGCATGAGGGTCTCAGTCTCAGGAAAAATGTAGGTAAAACTTAGATAATTTAGTTTTTATCTCTATCTCTTTCATTGTTCTACAGCTGTGATAAATGTGCCTTAGATATGACTTTACTAATCTTGAAAATCTGTGTGTTGGAATGGTAGCCTGAATGTTACGGTGCTGTCACAAAGATTTTCACTAAGGATTATTTTTAACAGCTCAAACATGTTTTAAGATTTGTTCAGACTCTCTCCCTGTCTTTTTAATAATTTCAGTGATTTTCTGTCACATTTTCAAACTGTAGAGTTTTGAGAATGAATTCCAATCTGGGCCTCACACAAGGTATCTGAATGGGGTCCAATTGGTGTCTAAAGATAGAATGCAAAATTACATTAGTTAAGTTTGTAATTGTGAAGCAGGAGGGAGAACAGTTTATAAAGGCAGAGATTGGAGGAGAACTTTAAGTATCAGTGCATGGTGAATGAGATGCACAGCCTGCATTATCAATAGGAGCTGCATGTCTAATCCACCAGACTCAGAACGGAAGAAAATGTACCCTGGGATGTCAGGTGTTAAGGGGAAGAATGGGCCTCTCACGTTCTTTGCGCTTACAAGCCAGCTTGTAACCTTTTGACTCTCTCTCTTTCTCTTCTTGAGTTTTGTTTCCTGAAAGGAAAAGGGGCTGTGGGGGGAGGTAGGGAAAGGAGATTTAAAGAGTGGAAGATCTGTTTCAAAGTACTGAGTAGTGTAGCATATTTTCAGGCTTGCTTAAAGAAGCAGTTGCTTTTCATGTAGAGTTTAACACTATCAACATAGTAATCTTCACGTGCTCTGCTGTAGGTGACGTAACTGTTTTTTTATCTTTCTAACTAAAATGAATATAGTTTCACTTAAAAACTCAGTAGAGGAGTAAAGCTTGTTTTGAGAATTAATGTTACACAATGTTGCCTTTTATATTCATTATGTATTATGCAGGAAAAACAACTCCCCAAATAACATGAAATTTCTTCTGTTCTCCAAGGATCCCCTAATGTGGCATGGTCATATATTCTATCGATTGCACAAGAGTGATCATGTTGTACTCCGGGCCTGACGATCTGCATATGCGAAGGAAAGGTTTAATAATACTCTCACAATTGCCTCCTTGCTCTTTTTGAGTTAGTAAGTGTAGAAAATATCCTGGTGCAAGGAGGAAGATGTATGTACCCTAGGTGAGTGCTTACTGGTTAGAATAAAAGAAAATGTAACGTATACAGGAAAAAGTTAATAGTGTCTAATTAACGTAGGTCTCCAAACTTCATGACTTTTGAGGAGAAAGGGCAGGAAGCGGAAAAATATGCCAAAAGCTACCTTATCTGTCCTTGAAATCGTCTCTTCTGCAACGATTCCATACTGGACTGTAAAAATGGAAACAATAAGGTGATGTTTGTTTTCATTAATTAAAGAGAGTCTTTCTCATAGAAGAGTGTCCTGAGAATCCTAAAGGAATTTTATATATTTCTGGCTAGCATGATGGATTTAAGAACTGTCCTCCTCCTAACTTTTAGTTGTTATTCATTCATGGTTATTTTGAAATGGCTCATGTTGCCTTGGCTTAGCTGTAATGTGGCAGCAATGGAGTAGAGCCAATAGAGGGGTAGTTTTACAGCCATCAATCAGGAAAAGGAAGAGCCCTTAGCCAGGGACTCAGCTGTGCCAGGAGGAGCCATTATTCTATTATTATTTCCAGTGTGGAGGCATTGTTTTAAGTTACATTAAAAACATCCTTTAAATGTCTTTATTTCTGTTGTAAATTTTCCACATCAACTTTTCCCAAAGAAAGGTGTGTGAATCTGTAACATATAAGGTAATTGAGTGCTTGAGGTCTACCTTGCTTTACAAGTTATGCACTGAAGGGAAACCTCAAATTAAAGGTAATTCCTCAACTTATAGAGCATGGAGGACCACTGGACAAACGTGGCAAGAGTTCTTGATTTCATAACACTTGCTCAGAATAGCACTCTGGACAGCCTTCCTTACTATCTTTTTCTTCTGTTAAGGACTCTAAACTCTAAGCAGCTAAAGGAGAGAGGATGAAGTCTATACTGTTATTCATATGCATGGATTTGCATTATCTCCTGGAGGTTGTGTTTATTGAAACCCACAATGGATTTGAATGTTAGAAGATTTGATGTGGTAGCTTTCTTGTTTTCAATTACTCTGTCCTGTACAGTAAATGTTATATATTCTATACTGCTTTAATTTCACTTTGTAGAGCATGTGTTGTGAACTATTATTGTAAAGCTCTCTATACTGAATATTATCAGTACTTTTTAATAAATAATGTTTGAGGAGACAAAAGCCTTCCATCTGTAAAGCCAGTGGCACTTGGTTTAAATGCATAATAGTGAAATAATGTGTCCCAAGTCATTAGAACATTTTGAGACACAAAAGGGAACAGAACCCAAATATCATAAATCCCTGTCCAGTGTCTTAATCTATCTATTTTTCCATTCAAAATATAAGTTTCCATGATTATTATTTGTACTGCCAGAGCTTTCCAGGGATTTAAAGGTGACCTAATTTATTAAATGCTGTCTTATGTGCAAGACAGAAGCAAAATCCTTACCTCAGGGCACTTATTCAGTGGCCCTGATCCTGCAATCTGATCTCTGGAATGAACGTCTGAACTAACACAAGCCATGCTGCCTGTTCAGAGAGTTCGACTGGAGTTTTAATGGAGGAGAGACATGTAGAGTGCAAGTTGTCTACAATATCCTCAGTGAATTTCAGTATATTACCATTACTTCCCTCTTTTATTATGTGTTTCCCTGTGTCCTCTCCGAGCTTTTGAGCAGCTGTTCTTGTTACCTTAAGCACAGAGAGAAGTTTGGTGTGAATTGTTTTTTCCAGCTCTGTGTGAGCCTTGATCTGTGGCACTACTTAAAGATGCTTTGCGATGTACCTTGAGATTAAAGTGCATCGCCCCTGCAGTGCATTGATCTTGTCTGGCCCAGAAAGGGGTTGTCATAGATCTGCTTTTGAAATCAGGACTCCCTCATGGGTTTTTCCAAGGCATCATCTCCATGTCATTGGGTTGGCAGGATATGAAGCTGAGGGTCTTTTTGAAGTTTTCCCTTGCACCAAGGGGTGTATGCTTGTCATGTGGCAGCTGTGCTAAGTTACACCCTCTTCTCCCTGCGTTCTATGCAGGGTGACTTAGTGCAGTATTTAAATATGCCAGGTCTATTTTTTTTTTCTTTTTAAACTCTATTGTTGATTTGCTATGTTGGAGTACTAAAACGAAGAGTAGAATCTAGTGCTTCTAACTCATTTCTTGGAGAGAAATAAAATGCACACGAACTAATTAAACTATCCTACAAAACTCTATCCCCTTGCAGCTACAGACAATAGTCTTATTTTAGGAAACACAATCATGTACTTCATTAGATATCACTTTCGCCAATATTATTTAGCTCTTCATAACTGCAAGGCAAACAGCCTTTAAGGTTGTTTCTGTTTCTCACATTTCAGTCTCTTTTTTTGAAAAGTAAAAAAAAAAAAAAAAAAAAGTAAATTTCCTCCATCAAATGACTCATTATTGGAAAAGCAGAGTAACATTTCACTATTCAAAGCTCTTCTTCCTGCAAAACTGTGGTACGTGGAAAATGTTTTGCAACTTTCAAAGTTTATTTGATTTTGAACGCTTTTGGTTATGTAAGTTTTAATAAGTAGCTTTGGTGTACCCCTAAAGGCACACCCCACACACTTATGTTGTGTGACCTAGGGTCACAAGTAATGGCTGCAAGCTAATTGATTGAGAAAGGCTTGTCTGACTGGGCCCCTTTGAGTCCTCCCTTTACATTCCTAAATTTCTGTAAAGAAGGCACTGGCAGCTTTGCCTGTTGAGAGGAGGGGTTGGGGTAAAGGGAGGAAGTTTCTCCGTTTCTGATTATGCGCAGAGTTTCCTTGTACCGAGCTTATGTTCTCCACCCACTACTTAGTAAGAACTCCTTAACAACTTAAAGCTTTATCCCTCTGAGTACCAGAAAAGTGATTTGAGTAGTTATTGAGCAGGGAGAATGAACTGCTTGCTCCGGGCAGGGAGGAAGCTTATGGAAATGATATTAGACCTTCAGCAAAGTGCACAGCTGCATCATACAGAAGCCGAGACTCAAATTGACAGGCAAATAAGCCAGATCACGGAAGGGGCCTCTGTGTGGCAGCTCTGAGCTCCCAAGTGTTGGACAACTAGGCAAAAAGTGCACTGGAACAGGGCAGAAAATATCACACTAACTTCAGGCAACTGTTGCATTTTCATGGTGAGTCCAGATTTGAAATGTTGTTTGAAATGTAGCTGTTTCTGTTGTTTCTAAAATCCCTTCCGTTCTACCACAGCTATCCTTTTGCAAAGTTCATTGTGTTACAGATTATTTGTCCGGATGTGCACTGCAGTTCTGAGTGGTGCAGAAATGCACAGGGATGGTCCTTTCCTTGCTGGTTGCTCTCTGTTTTTCCTTTGCTTGCTCCAGGAATCAGGTCCCATTCTCTAAAGCATGCTGTACAGCTTACGATTTGCAAAGAAAGAGTTTTTGCAACCAGCCCTCGGTGTGTGGCTGCATATAGGTGAATAAGTGTCCGGAATTTCTGTGCAGTTTTCTGCAGTTTGAGCTTTGCGGCACCTCTGCATTGCTCCGTATTTCGCTGCCTTATCTTGAGAATGTATGGCACGGTCACTATGAAAAGAGCTTTGTGTTTGAATTCCTGGTGAGTCGAAGGGTCAGGGCCTATGAGTTATCTGCCTGCCAGCAAGAGTCATTGCTGTGTCCCTTTATTTTTCAAGCTAAAATAGAAAAAACATGTGTCCTCACCCCTTTTATATAAACGCATTTTGAATTCAGGTTTTACATGCTGTTTGTGTGTGCTTTGTTCTTTTGACAAACGGGGTTTTGAAGAGAAGCCAGTTCTATCCTTTCCATATTTATTCTGTTTTCTCAACTTTTCTTACTGCTTTTTTTGCATTCCTTTGTTGTGATGCACATAAATTTTTCTTAAAATAACATTCAGTGATTCTGATTTCTGCTATGAAGAGACAAAGGTTTTATAGTTGCACACTTGTCTCCAAAAATACCAGGGAAGTATCTAAATTTTAGGTAGGTTACAAAGCTATGAAGAAGATAAGGCTTTCATAACTTTTGTCTCTCTTAAGGAGGGAAACAGAATACTCCTGGATAAGTTCTAGTGTAGTGGTAATAAATCTGATCTGAGTTATTATGTTGTTCCAGTCACTGTGTTCTTTTGAAAAAGCTGCTTTATTAGCACAGCAATAGAATTATACATGTTGACAGTAACATTAGAAATCAGTTTGCAAAAGCTGTTGAGTGGGTGAAATTTAGAGCCATAATTCTTCAAAGCATGTCAAAGTTGCTCTGTATATGATGTTTAAGATGCCTGTGATTTAGAGGAGAAATGAATCTAAGTGTTTTTTCCTTCAGCAGAAGTGTAATTCTGCACAAAGTGATCTTTGTTATATCTTTACTCAAATAGTCTTCTTTTCAGAAGGTAAATAATCTCAGTCAGGAGTTTTCACAGGAAAATTCTCACAACATTATGTTATTTGGAGCTAAAGGAAAAGTGCTCATTTGATAGGATAATTCTACCAATCAGCATAAGTTGCTCAGACGAAGCCTCCACTGATGGTATGTTCCTAGTTGTTTCTTGACCTGTCTTTCTAAGTTTGTTAGTTCATCTAAATATTACGATTAGCAGAATATCTTTTCTTTTTTCTTTTTTTAAACAATAGATAAATGCATAAGGGGCTTTAGATCTGCACTGACCTAATGTTGCAGTCTCTCTCAAGTGCGGAAGTTCATATCGTTCATCTCCTGTGTTCATTTGCCAGTCTGAGATCTGGAGTTTGCATGTAGTTTTTGCATTTCTTTCTTTTTTTTTTTTTTTTTTTTTTTTTTTTTTTTTTTTTTTTTTTTAATGAAAAAAAGAAAAAGAGTGAAAACTGTTTCAAAGAAATGCTAAGCATTATAGGATAGAAGGTGGTGCTGCAAGGTGATCTTAATAGATTTCGTGCTGCTTCTTTTTGTTAATTGGATTCCTGTGTATTTTGACTTGGACTAAACCTTGGACTTTCTACAAGAAAGCCTTGGTCACATTCTCAGTGCAACTAAAGATATACTTTTCTTCTAAGAGTTTCAGGGTCCACCTTGCAGGAAAGAAATGCATCCTCTTCTGCAACATAAATATATGCCACTTGCTGAAGTTCTCTTTACACACTGAAGGTCTGACAGTAAATGAAACTGTGAGGAGCCAATCTCCTTCATGCTGTGGTGCCCTGGAGCACAGAGGAACCTCTCACAAGGTGCAGGGGAATCAGGGCTGTGGGGACTCAGGGCAGCCCCATCCCTGTGGGCACACAGGCAGGGGACCTGCCTTCCCTGTGCTGCAGGGTTTCCATTGGCAAAGAGAGGTACCAGTGGTGTTGTGAAACCTGATGAGAGGATTATGAAACATTTCTTTGTGCTCTGATGAACAGCTTGATGAAGGGTAAAGAGATTAATGAGGAAGAGAAGAATTTACTGATGATTTTTTGCTTATGTTTATCATTAAGAGAAGAATATCACTCCCAGTAACTGTGTTTTATGATTCATGGAAATCCCTGTAGTAATGATGGGAGTGATAATTGATGATAGTGTTCCTACTGGCCATCTGAGTTGAAGTTTTCACAGAGGACCAATGCAATATATCAAGGTTTCCAGTAAGTTTAAACATCATTAGGATGTCTTGAAATACTACATTTGCACCTGGATAAAGGGAAAGAATCATTAGTTCAAACTAAAATAATTATTTTTTCTAACATTGGTTAGAGGAAAAAAAAAATTTTTTGAAAGCATTAAACACAATTATTGTATAGCTGTCATTTATTTGAAAAAATTTTATTTAGCAACTTCAGTCTTTAGTCAAGGAGAAACTAAATTTATTCTGTGAATTGCACAGCAAAGTGATTTTGGAGGTTCACTTCTTAGGATTATTCTGGTTTAGGAAAGTAGTGCATAGAAGAAGTAAAAGTTATTTACATGTTTTACATTTTCAACATGTTTCATTGGCATCAATATACTATACAGACATGGTGCCTAAAGGTATCTTTACTGTCACGTGAGAAAAAAGATGGAAATTCAGGACTAAAAGTTGATTTTTCTGTCAGAGAGAATAACTAGTTTATGGTTTAAGGCCAAGACAATGTCTATTCTAGGAGATAAAGGAAAATTGACAGGAACAAGAGAATTGCAGCTTTGATTTTCTGTGAGTCACAATATTGATAGAGTTACTCTAATGATAATTAGAGTTATAACCCCATGTTATAACTGAGCAATTTTGAAAGAACTCATTAAAAACTAAAGGAGAAAAGAGGAAAAGAAAGTTTAATCTGAGCACATTTTGAAGTTCTTTTGTGACTAAAATTAGTTAGGTCTCAAACCTCTTTATCTTCAAGCTTTATCAAGGATCCATATATCTGTCTAAAATAGAAAAAGTAACTTGAGAATTGTCAGTATCAGATTTTGGAGTTCATTGAGGGAACAAGAAAGGATGTTTCAGGGGAAAGAGAAGGTATATACATGCTGTCCATGAAACACAGAGAGACGACTTGATCTTCACAATACCCAAGTTGACTTTCTGTCCTGCAGCAAATTTAAAGTATCAGCAGAAGACTGACCCAAGAAGTGGTGGTGATGGTGAAAGTGAAAGAGGAACATACAGTGAGAAAGATATTTTACTGTTAAAGATAATCAAGTAATTATAATATGTGGACGGATGGATAAAGAGAACAAATACAACTGGAATTTGAGGACAGGGCAACAGTAGGGGAGGTGGGACATTAAGGGGAAAAATCAAGATCTAAACATAGAAGGAACGTGGCATGAGAGGAAAAATCCACTCTATCTAAAATATCAGTCACTGATGAGCCTGTGCTTTGGGAGTTGTGCACAGTTCTTTAATGTAAGTATTTTAATTGTGCAAGCTCTTGAATTGGTCCTGTTTCAAACTGCACGTATTAAATGGTGTTAAATGAAGAAGGTAAATGGATGGCCCTATCTTGGGGGGCTTGTGCCTTTGCTGTCAGTAGTTTTCATTCTTTCCAAAAAGCAGCAGCAGTGACAACCTACCAAGAATATTTGGCAGAGCTGGCCAAAGGAACTGCTGTGCTTTATTGCTGCCACTTCTCTCAATCTTCTGTCTCTTTAATGTTATGCATCCTCTCAGAGTCCTCTGCAAATATTTTCTCTGGTTTTGGTGTGTAAAGCAAAAACTGTGCAATTTGAAAGTTAATGCTAAATAAAAAGTAGGACTTTCCAAATTATTTCCCTTTATTTTTTTTTTTTTCCTCTTTTACAATCTATTCCCAGTTTCTGGGAAACAAGATATATGGCAGGATCTGGTAAGTTAATCATCTTTTAGGTTGCATCAAACCATTTCCTTTCAATTGCCGTGCCATTTTTGGAATGTATTTTTTGTCCTGAGATTTTACATTTTATAGTCACAAAACACAGGTGATTTTTTTAATTTTTTTTTTTTTTTGTTAAAGGAAATATGTTAAGATTATTTTAAGCAGCAGAAGTGGGAATAAATTATACTTTTCCTGTGAAATGTGAAGTAAACAAAATAAACTCAATGAAAGGCTTTGAACAACAATTTCTGAAATAAATCAATAGGTATTTTGTGGACTTCTTTTTCTTAGGGCTTGAGATTTATTAAATAAAAAAAAAAAAAGGAAGTAGATTGAAATTATTTTATATTGAAGATGTTAAATTATAGCTATTTATAATGTGCCTTTTGGCAGTGTTAGGCAGTACGCTGACAGGTTTTACTTGCTCTGAGGACCATACAACAAATTAGGCTTTGCATATGCATAGCGTACTGAGTGTCCTGTCCTAAGAGCTTGACCTGTGCACATCTCCAGGTTTAACTTAGCTGAATGCTGAGGAAGCCCTGGAAGTAAGATTGCCATTTTGGAACGCCTCACATGGAGATGGAGTCAGCCCCCTCTTCAACTTCCAAATTCTCCGAGTGTTATTAATAACCAAATTTGATGTAGTTTATTCATTTTAATGCTGCTGTTGGCTCTGTTTACTGAAAGTGTTTCAGTAGTGAAATCAAAACAGAACTTGAGAATCGTGGTCAATTTTTACTGGAGATGTTTTTCTAAGCAGGAGGAAATGCCACTTTGAAGTGTTTGGAGTGAGTACGGCTTGAGTTTTATATAGGTGCTGCTATAAGTACGCATGTGATTCACAATACAAGTAGATGCTTG